GCGCGGGGGGGGAGGGGGGGGGAGGATATTGCACGAGAAGAGGTAAATTTTCTTGTTCGGGTTAATCGTAACGAGGGAAATTGAAAAATCCATTGGAATCTGGTCCCATTCTCACGCGAATGCTCGAACAAAGAATAAAACGGGGAGCCGATTTTATCATGGCGATTCCAGTGCTTTGACCCTTGTAAAAAAATATATGCCGGCTATTGCGCTCTAGCCACGTGCCCCCGTGTAGGACCTGCTGCTACGTACTTCATTACAATGGGACTCGAGGCTTGTAATAACATGACTGCACATCGGCTACTAGTGTCAGGATATCGAATAACCTCTTGGCGAGTCATTGAAAATCGGTAGTTAGATTGGCTCGATTTGCATTGAGTAACGCAACAGTTCAGTTGCGGCTTCAGTTCTCGTTGTTCGTAAAGTCGGCTGAGTCTGCTGAAGCAGAATTGGAGGCTATATCGTCAGCATCTTTTGTTTCAAATGTCCATGTAGTTTGTAAGTATCTAGGAGCAACGGTACAGTCCTGCACAGGAAGGTAGGTCAGAACGTAAGACGAGTCGGTGTTTTAGTAAACCGATCGGATCGCATTTCGCCGACGGTTCGACCGTGTAAAAACCTTCGTTAACCTGGAGAACGAAGGGACGGCACAAAAATTGTGCCACTTTTCAAAGTTTCTGAATAAACTAGAGCGCGTTAAATGGCTGGTTAGAAGGTTCGCGGAGTCAAAAGGACGTAAGTCGAGTGGCGGCACGCTTGTCACCCACTTGTCCAAGTCCAAAGTGCTTGGCTGGTCGTTTGGGCTGCTCTTATGTCTTTTTGCCTCTCCTTCGTTCTCTGCTTCGCTTGGGTCTTGCCTATTGTTCTCCGGCCTTTCTTCAAACGGACATTCGGAGCGGAACCGTCTGTGCTCTGCCTAATCGGGAGCACTGACATTATGGGCATCGAGGGTATATTTCGTAAGATTGTGTATAATTATTTTTTTTTTTTAATTTTTTTTAACTATCAATCGAACCGAGGAAAAATCGACTCCTCCGCAAGTGGTTTCCGCTTCTGTAATTCTGTTACTCGTGCCGGTCGACCCGACGAGGTTTTCTCATTTGATCTGAAGCCTTATCATTTTTTGCCACTTTCACGTAAAACCAGAAGCAGAATGGCTGTCGGATTTATAATTTTTGCTCGATGGAACGAAGTGACGCGACGCAGGGGATATTTATAAGTCTGGAGAAATGGACAGTCGTGGAAATTGAACAAAGAGTCGATCGGTTAGGTACGGCGAACGACTGAGAGGATCCGCACGAAATGATCGCGAGGTCATAGAAATCAGCGAACCAAGAATTTCACTAGCATTCAGTCAAATGACTATGACGGACTCATTTCGTCGGAAGATACTTGTCGTCCGCGGGAACTGCGACGAATTCCCTCTTTAGGAACCCACTGGCGGAACGAGCAAGTTAATTGTAAATTCACGAATACAATTTACTCGAGTGCTTGTTTGGTTTCTCTAAAGCTTTTTTTTTTCCTCCACTTTTTTCCCCCTGATTTACGTATCACACCGAATGTTGAGCGGTGCCGTTAGGCTGGATTTATTGTAAATCAATTTAGGCTGAGCCGTTATGTCTCCCCGAATTTTCGATGGCAGCCTGGGCAGCCAAAGCATCGATTTACGAACGAATAATGGCTGTTACGTATATTCCATTGGGCCACGTGGTAGCTGGATTCAAGTACAAAAGTCGAGTAGCTCGTCGCATTATGCAAAATTTGTCTTTAGCAACACCTCTGTGCGATATCTTGCACGGGTTCGGAATCCTGATCGGATTGGTTTAATGTTACATGGAGATTACCTCTTTTTGAATTGCAGGAGGAATACGTGGCTGAGAATATTAAGTGGACGCCAATAGATTATTTCAATAATGCTGTGGTCGTCGAATTGCTCGAAGGAAAACGGCCGCCTGGGCTTTTTCGAATTTTGGACGACGTCTGCGCCACGCTGCACAGCGGAAGTACCGGAGCAGACACCGATTTGCAGAAGGTATCGTCGCGCGTCGAATATTCCAAGTTCGCGGAAGCTTTCACATGGAAATAGCTTTTTTTCCCTTTTTTTCATTTTTCATAAATTTCATTCAATGACGTAACGTGTCTTTTTTTTTCCCTTTCAGAAATTAGCCAGTGCCGCGAGCAGTCATGCTCATTTTCAAAATACCGGCGAAGGATTCACCATTTTACATTATGCCGGTATCGTTGCTTATTCCGTCGACGGATTTAGCGACAAGAACAGGGACGTTCTTTTTCCCGATCTGATAGAACTTATGCAAACTAGCACCAAGTGCGTAATACTTTTCTTGCAAGAGGCAATGGATTCTCGTAGTTCCCTGGTCGTTTGCAAAGTCTAGTTCTTCTTCTTCATCTTTTTTGCAGTTCCCTCGTTCGTAATCTCTACCCGCAGGAGAAGGCTGCGGATACAACGAAAACGCTCAAGCCTCGACCTACCACGGCTGGTAGTAAAATTCGTAGTCAGGCAAGTCGTCTGGTTGGCCAGTTAATGAAGTGCACGCCGCATTATATACGTTGCATCAAACCGAACGAGACGAAAAGGCCTAAAGACTGGGACCAGCTCAGAGTGAAGCATCAGGTATGAATGTGATAATGGCAAATGCCTTGAGAGATCAGCGTAGCTTTTGCTAAAGAACTTGGTGACTCTGTGATCGTTGTGGTTTCAGGTGGAATATTTGGGTCTCAAAGAAAATATACGAGTACGTAGAGCTGGTTTCGCGTACAGAAGACCGTTCGCCAAGTTTCTTCACAGATACGCCATATTGACGAAGGAAACATGGCCGCAGTGGACAGGCGACACGAAACAAGGCGTGGAGTGGATATTGGCGAGTGTACAAATGGACAGAAGGCAGTATCAGTTAGGAAAAACGAAATTATTTATTAAGGCACCGGAAAGCGTGAGTCTTCTTGAATTTTGTTCTACTGCGTCGGTGCAAATCAGATTTCATAATGGGATTGTTGCCCCTCTAGTTGTTCATGCTGGAAGAGGCGAGAGACCGGAAGTACAACACGCACGCTCGAGTGATACAGAAAGCGTTCAAAAAGTATTTTGCTAGGAAGAAGCAAGAGAAGGAAAAACAGGAAGCTGCCAATTTGTTCTTCAGTCGCAAGCAACGTAGACGTGGAAGTGTCAACAGGAATTTCGTAGGTGATTACATTGGTCTCGATGGTAAACCGCAGACTATGAATCTGATTGGTAGAAGAGAAAAGGTTTTCTTTGCTGAGGTGGTTAAGAAGTATGATAGAAGATTTAAGGTGAGAGTTTGATCAACAGGCGCATCCTTCCTGCCGCTTGAAATTAGTTATAAAACTTCAATTATGTAATTTATCGTTTAGGTGTGCAGAAGGGATCTCATACTAACTGGAAAGTGTCTGTTTCTTATTGGTAGAGAACAAATAAAAAAGGGGCCTGAAAAGGGTAAATCGATTCAGGTAATCAAGAGGAAGTTGCCTTTTGATCAGATTAGTCACGTATCCCTGAGCACGCTTCAGGTAAGTTTCATCAATTTGGAAGAAGTATCATTGATAATTCATTATACACGGTTGGACACGGTTGCTTTAGTTTGTCGTGCGGTTTAATAATCCAGCGACCACATTGCGAAAGTCACGAAACGGAAACAACAACGTTGGGGTCGTGTATCACGTTCAGAGAAAGTCATTGAAATAGAATTATTTTTGTCTTATGTACAGACTGTCTTCGAATATATGTATAATTGATGGGGATCTGGTAAATAAGTTAATTTATTTCACTCATAAAATTGAGTGCGTCGATGCATCCGCGAAATGTCAGTGAATGTCAACCGATTAGATTATTCTTCTGGATTTTGATTTATGATGGTGTATCTGCTATCTGTTATCGATTATTAATACTTATTACGTTTCAGGATGACTTTGTGATAATTCACACAAGAGAAGATTACGCTAGCTTACTGGAGCTTGTCTTTAAGACTGAGTTTCTCTCTATTCTTAGTAAAAAGTACTTGGCTGAGACCACCCATTCGTTGAACATCAAGTTCAACAATAAGTGAGCATTAATTGTGCCTAATGCGTATCTAGAAAGTTTTAACATGTTTTAATGGTTTTTTCTTCTCTTTTTCACAGCATAGAATTTAAGGTAAAAAAGGAAGGCTGGGGCGGTGGCGGTACCAGAGAAGTTAAATTTGTTCAGGCAGATATTGGCGACCAAGAAGTACTAAAACCTCATGGTAAAGTCTTAAGTGTTACTGTCGGCAAGGGTTTACTCAGCACTACCAGTAAGTTAATTATTTTATTACGTCAAATTGGTCGGGCGTGTCGTATCTTATCGTAGGCTAACTGATTCGATTTATGTTTTGACTCAGAGCCGAGTCCGAATCGAGCATCGACAATGTCCATACCTCAATCTTATAAGTCTAAAACGGAAGCCCATCCTGGTGCGCAGCCCTTAAAATCAGCTCTGAAAATACCAAGTCGTCCTGCTCCGCGTTCTACTGTAAATCAGCAACGACCAGCAGCACCAGTCGGTCATCAGAAATCATCATCAAAGCCCGGTTCACTACCGAACAGACCAATATTGCCAGTAACGTCAGGCTCGACAGCGGCAGTTGGCGTCGGTGCTGCTGGGTTTGTAGCCAATAACGTCAAACCAAACTTACCAGCTAATAGACCAAACGTTAAGGCGAATCAAGTACAGAAAACAAAGAAGTCCGATATAAAGGAACCAAGTAAGCTTCAGAACATTTCGTTGCCGGTGATGGGAATGTTCACGAATCCTGGCGGTGGCCCGCGGGGTGAGTAATGAATAATTCAATAAAAAATTCTTCTTTATCAGTACTAACCGTTTACGTAACTTAATGACTGTATTACTGGTTTTTTTTTAAGGTTTGGTAAAAGCTCCCCCACCACCGTCCGACCCAGCACCCCCGAATCAACCAACTGTTCATGGAGCGTTCAGGCTCCCACCGATCGGGGGTGGTGATTACAACACTGTCAGTACTAACTCTCATAATAAGGAAAGAATGACTAGTAATATTCCGGAAACAAGGCCATCTACCAACGACGCCGGAAATGCAGTTGCAAGTACGAGGGGCTGGGAAAGACCTTTGCCACCTACGCAAAGTTTACACCCACCCTCTCACAAACCGCCCACTCCCAGTTTACCAAAAGTGAAAGCTCTCTATGATTATAATCCTCAGGATCTCGACGAGCTGGGTTTTAAAGAAGGGGAAGTCATTGAGGTGTTGAGAGAACGTAAGTTTTTCAATTTCACAATACATATTCTCTGTTACTATAACGAAAAAATATTTTTTAATGGCTTACAAGCTTTTTCATTAACTTTATAGACGATGGCGGCTGGTGGCAAGGAAGGTTGAAGGGTAAAATTGGTCTCCTCCCATCGAATTACGTTAAAAAAGTATAATCTGGCATTTAAGTCTGTTCTACGAGGCGTGGTATCCATAAAAGCAGACTCTCTAAATTTAGATATCGTTTTCGCTCATGTTGTATATAATGATTTTGTATTTTTTTTTTTAACTTTCAATCAATTGCTATGAATGTACATGCACGATTCGTCGAACTTGAATGTTTAATTCAGTATACTGCCACATATATAACCAAATTATACCAGTTAGTCATGCTTCGTTAAGACAATGGATACATTAGACCTAGATTACGGGAAGTATTAATTACTGCTAAGTGGTATATTGCTTAAACAATGACGCCACACTTATTATTTGTTTATACGTACCTGATAGTGAATCTAAAGCTGAATTGTTCAGTGGCAGGCAGATATACATCGAATTGTTGTGTGAACACGGTGTTCTATACGTTCAATCCGTCTTACGATCGTTGGATAAAATATTGATTGATTGATTGGTTATTCAATGTAACAGGTGCGTCTATCTTGTTTTGCATGAACTTACCAACATATATGAAGGATTATACAACAGTTAAAATGCCATAGCTTTGCGAATAAGTTTATTCGCTGATTCCAAAGATAGATTATATGATTAACTGATAAGAGTGTGTTAATTGTTGTTTCAAAATTATTTGCACGTTTCTATACCCGCATAATGTTATTCCTTGTTTCTTTTGAACCAACGATGAAATATTGTATTTAATATTCGGTATCTTGTTCTTAATCGATAACGAATCGTGAACTTTCAGTAGCATAGCAGAGGTGAGCGAGGTAAAAAAAAATCCATACATTTTTGTTGTATGGGAAAGAATCGAAAACACTGAAATTGTATAATATCAACGCAGATTTCTGTGCAACTCTAGTAATTTATGGTTTTCATTGTATCTTTATCCTGAAATGGTTAATTATTTGACATGAAGGAACCACGATTCACATACCCGGCGAGCCGTGAAGCTATAAACCAGTCAACGTAAACTGAAAATAATAACGTATAAAAGAGCAGGTAATCAACTTGCAAATATTGCGTTAAAGGTCTCAGAAGTCATTTATCAACGGCGTGTACACGTTTATATGATGATTGTATATAAATTTACTGCCATTGATAAATCTTTGTTAATAAAACCATTACCAAAGTTAAAATTTCTAAATCTTTCTTCCCAAACCCAAACCCAAGTAGGTACAAGAGTCAGGAAACAGTCGAGGAAATAAATTTTAATGTTAATTTAATTTCAAGTGTTTGGCAACCTCAAGCTAATTTCATAGAAGAAAACATCGAATGCGTTGTCTATCAGTTACGAGAAATAAGTCAGTTTATTCGTTCTACCTTTTACAAACATCCAGTACTGGTAGATGGTTCCAGTTTTATTTCTTTTAGTACCTGCGGTCGCTAGAGTTTCTAGCCAGGACTCGTAAGCGGCTAATTGTCAGTAATTTGAAGACCAACACCGTAAATCGAACCTTCGATTTTCGCGTAACTACTTTAATTTTAATCTGACCTTCATAGGTCTTAACCGTCGACTTGGAGCCAATAAAAGCCAGCGAAAAATTTTTACTTTGTCAATTAAAATTTTTTTTCAGCTACAAGAGATACACATCAAAGATCTTCATTAAACAGTTGCAATTTCTTATTAGAGGCTCTCCTGTAAATTCCTGAAGCACATTCCCATCAATCCTTCAAGCAATCATAAATTTTCTCACAAGCGTAGAATCGATTTGATCCAATTCCTTAAAGTCGTTGCCAATGAAGTTTCGATAGCAACAGCCACTTCGCACCCTGTACTTAAGGAAAGGGTAACCAACGATTAAAAAATATCTATTATTACCCCCCTATCTGAAGGGTGGCGCGGGTACAAGGCTAACCAAGTTCTTATAAAGAGTTGTTTTTCCTCCCAACCTCTTTATTCTACCAGAACCTCAGTGTTAAGTTTTTCACATGTTCACATAAGATAGTAGCTGAAGTTCATTGTCCCGTTGCACGGGAATCAGTAAGGATGCACCGTAACAATGGAGATGAAGATGATCGCTATCGTGATCAAGTACAGGGCAATATATTCAAAGTACAACAAGACAAAGCTAATACAAACGGTGGGGCAAATAAGCCTGCTGTCTTCTTGGGCACGCACGGTCGTTTTGAAGAAGAAGCAGTGAGAGTAGCGCCCAAGTACGAAAGGAAAAATCAGTTCAGCTACAACGAGGATCGACCACCTGAAATCGACGCGAAGCTTCTGGACGAGCACGATCACTTTTACGACGACACGAAGGCGCTGCTTGTACTTTTCCAAATAATGGGCGTGATGCCCATACAACGCGGACAGGGTAAGTCCAGTCTTTGCCAGAGAGAAATGATTAATTTAACATGTACTTCTAAAAATGATTTAGGTGTGACGACTTTTGAGTGGACTTCACCAGCAACGCTTTACGCATTTTGCCTGTGGATCGCTGAAACAGTCATTGTCATTTTGGTTGGCCGTGAACGTATCGAGAATACTCTCGAACCTGGAAAGCCCTTCGATGAATACATATACAATATAATTTTTCTGTGCATTCTGGCACCACACTTTTTATTACCAGTAGCGTCCTGGACCTACGCCGACGAAGTGGCAAAGTACAAAAATATGTGGACGCACTATCAGGTAATAGATTTAAAAAAGGTTCATACAGTCCAGTGTCAGAACGACTCAGATACAACGTTCCGAATTGTTTTAGTTGAGATACTACAAAGTCACAGGATCAACTCTGGAATATCCCAATCTCAAAAGAATGTGCGTCTCTCTCTGTTTGGCTTCCTGGATAATATCCATTGTCGTAGTAGTTTCTCAATTTTATCTCCAGCCTGGTTTTACAATGTGGCACACGTCCGCTTACTATCATATAATAGCCATGCTTGACTGTCTCTGCGCCTTGTGGTGGATAAACTGTACAGCCATAGGCAGCGCCTCAAAGGGGTTAGCTCTCAATCTTCACAAGGTAATTTAAAAAAAAAATCATCAGTCTACATAATGAGAAGGATAAAATTCTATATTAATTAATATTTTAAAGGCTCTAGAGAATACAGGCTCGGCAGCATTACTTGTCGAATATAGAAGCCTTTGGCTTGATCTGAGTCATATGATGCAACAGCTTGGGAAAGCTTATGCGAATATGTACGGTGAGCCATATGCCAATGACAATAATAAAAAAAGCTTTAATTCGTGTAATCCATGTTATTGAGAACATCTCCTCGCAGGTATATACTGTCTCATAATGTTCGTGACGACGATTATCGCCGGTTACGGTGCATTTTCTGAAATCCTAGATCATGGCTTCAGTTTGAAGGAATTAGGCTTGTTCGTGATAGCCGCTTATTGTATGACGCTTCTTTATATAATATGTAACGAGGCTGATCACGCGACGCGAAAAGTCGGCTTAGAATTTCAAGAAAGATTACTCAATGTCAATCTAGCAGCCGTTGACGTTCAGACACAGAAAGAAGTAACTTACAGGATACGTCAAAGCATGAAAATCCAATCTCCTATCGGTATTAGCTCACCAATATTTTTCTTTCTTCGCAGGTAGAAATGTTTCTCGTATCCATATACAACAATCCTCCAATTTACCATCTCAATGGATACGCAGTCATTAACAGAGAGCTACTGTCAAGCGTACGTAACCTATTTATCGATTACATTGCGCTATTCTATAAATTCCTAAATTATATTTACATTATTTTACAGAGCATAGCGACAATGGCTACTTATTGGGTCGTACTGATGCAATTTAAATTGTCCCTGATTCGTCGAACCGTACAAACCAGTTTTGTCGACACGTCGAGTGCGAAGAATTTGACTTAGCTTACTGCAACTTAACAATCAATTGTCTACTGTTTCCTATCGACCCGGTCGCATTAGACTCGATTCCGTTTAATTGGCTACGTTGCTTTTGAAATTACTACACTGTAAGGTGACTTGGATTTGTCGAAAAAGGAATAACGTGCCAGCATGGTGCAGTGGTGGCTGTGATATCGCAATAATTGAACTATATTAATTCGGTTTTACAGTACTTTATTGGTTCTTACTTGGCTAAACGGATATTGCGGTGATGTATTCGACGAATTCGACTTGGCGTTTCGCTTATCCGCATGCGCAGAAACCTTTGAAAGGACTTCTGGCATTGTGGATGGAAACTATTAGGCAACTAGAGCCTCGGCAAGAATGATGCTTATCATTGGTAAACGTAATCAGTTTCTATAACATGGCTTACATAATTTAAAAAACCGACGTAACGATTACGAATAAACGTATAAACAATTGTATATGACATAAATATATGCATATGTATATCCTCGTATACATGCGGAGTGGTAATTTTTTTCCCTAAAACTGTCAAATAAGAATTTCCACGCATAAGAACACTGCGTGGTCATATTATCACTGAGCATGATAAATTATAATAGTTTTTCTTATCGCCTCTATTACTATTTCATTCGCGTCTATACGCATCGCTGTGATTTTGAATTATTTATCACGTACACATATACATCATCTTAGACGTTGCAACACGACAGTTTTCCATTGATAAGACAGAGACGAAAGAAAAAATCGTTAGGCACTGGAATAGTAAAGTATCATAAAGACAATACAACCTTACAATCTCACATATGTGTATTATCCAATGATATATTCATTTTTCGCATATCGAGATAAAGGAGTAAACACGACACCAAAACTTCAAACGAATTAGATATCCGCGCTTCTATATATATATATATACGGCTTAAAAAAATTAAATTTACATATCTATCCAATCATAACAATTAGAAAAGCATAAGAATTCGCTATTTACAACAATTACGACTGTCTCTTTCCATACACATGATTGCCACGTATTGTTTGCTTTTTTAAATTTATTTCCTTGTCATAAATCGCTCATTGTACTTTTAAACTAATAATCACTCGTATAATCATTTTCCCTTTCTCAGGTGGAGTGTTGAACCTTGAACTTTCCCTCTCTAATTCATCCACGTCATTCTATAGATATCGACTGAGCAGTGTAAACATTTAATATATCAGTTGTCACGCGTGCTATTGGTTCTACAGTCTGTGGTATATTTTTTCATAGTATAATAACAATAACACGTAGTAAACGTAACACAGCGAGTACAAATGTTAATGTTGATAAGAACAGATATGGAGGATTTAGCAGGATTCAACACTGCACAGTTAGTTTTATAACTTTGCTTAGATTAAGAGTAACTTTCGCAGCTTCACTTGAATGGCATAGTTAAATGACTGCGATACGTACGCAACCTATTAAAGCTTTTACAATGTACTATCACGTAGTACGTTATATTATAATGTGTGTATGCATTATGGAGTGTGAATGATGATAAATATAAAACTAAAAATCGACACAGTAAGGGGGAAGGAAGTATTAAACTAACAGAAATTACAGATAAAAGTCAATTTGATATATAAATTATAGAAAAATTGACATTTCTATCCTATACGTTTTATAAGTTGTCCCATGTCAATTATTTTTTTCAAAAATTTCATGATTTTTGAATCTTAGGTATTGATATACAATCATGTAAGACTCATGTCATATAGCACATTCTTTAATGTGATGCATTGTATGCATTAAGGTGAGAATTTTATTATTCAAAATATCTTGTTTCCTTGTAAGTGTTATTTTATTTTCCTTACGCCACTCGTCTAGACTCTTTAATAATTTTTAATATGCGACACGTACAAATGTATGCATTATTTTTCGCATTCTACTGGGATCATTTTTTTTTTTATAACTTTTGTGATCAGTATTTAATCAGTGACTTAAGTAAAACATAGTAGTATCGTATAACGGCCTCGATTGTAAATCACATCTGGGCCACCCGTACGTTTCCTGATAATAATTTAAAATCATTTTTTTGAAGTATCGCAATCATGATTCTCTGACTAAGAAATTCTGAATAACATCTGGCAATGAAACTAATAACGTTGATGCTTATCGATACAGGATGAAGTGGCGATAGTATCCTTACAGTTGGGCGACCCCTTTCTTTAAACTTTATAAAATTAATATGTATATTAGAAACTATACTGTTTAGAACAAAGAACAAAAGCATAGCATGCGAACACCATAATTCTCATAGAAAACTTTAAACACTTGGTTATTTTATGGCACAGTGCTGAGTACGTGTGTCGATCGATGAAAACAGCGCTTTGACAAGGAAAGAAAAAGAGAAAGAAATACAATCCCATCCAATTTGCATCAACAATTTTCCTATTTTCTATAAAGTGAATTCAATAAATATATTCGAATCAACGCAGTAATATATTACTATTATTAAATTGCCATTCAGGACGTACTGCAAAGCAGTGAATTGTGGATTATTCAAGTATCCTCTTTAACGATGCATCGAATAATTCTTCCATGCTTCCTTTCAACCATTTTTCTCCTTAATCATATGATCTACACTCGAAACATCTTTTTCTCATTTTAATATACCATATTAGCGCTTGTCATCTTTAACCGACACATTTTGGAGATCTATAATTCCCTCTTTGTCTTTTTTTTTTTGGTATCTTTTCACATTTTCAGCGAATAGCGGACATAACCAATTGCACGTTTCAGTTCCTTACTAGATTAGAAAATGCAAACTACCTCTTAAATCAGGATTCAATTCTCGCACCAATACAATGCCAATCCATTGTCGGCACACCTTGAATTTCAGCTAATATCGCTTTTTGTTCGATAGAAAAAAAAGGCTCAACCAAATGAGACGGACAACTTCTAACCTTTAAAATATAAAATCAGTGAATGTTCTCTGTTAATCAACGTGAAACGGTCAACGTTCGAACGTAGACTATTCGTGATTGTGTCTCAAGGCTGGCCTTGTGTTATACGTAGTACTTGTCGTTGGAAAATTCACAACTCGAAGAGTCATGTACCTGTACAAATTTAAGATTACAAACGTGTGAATCTCGATACATAAATACCATCATTCATGAAAGAGTAACGCTTTCTTGTTTATTATGTCTCCTTTTCTTTGGCAACTCCACAGCATGACGGGATATGTCTGAAATATGTTTTGAGTTAAGCTGTACTCGAGTATTATTTTACGTAGCTATCCTATTTCATCCATTATTTTAACTATTTAATATCTAAGTGCGGTATCTTTAAAACGGTATGACGTTATACATCAGTTTGATCAGTTTTTGTTCTTCATTCACTATCATTTTAAATAAGCAATAGCACACTGCAAAAGTGTTTCAGTTAAAAACATCTTACTCACCCCTGTGATAGAGAGATAATAATTAGACCCTTGATGAGAGGCTTCATTGGACGACACAATTTTTATTTCTTTGCGCTAATCCAGCCCGCGACAAGTCTCGTTCTATCTCATCATCATCCTCGATACTGTAATAAATTAACATGTATTTTTTTTAAACCAATGCATACCTGTAATAACCAATTGAAGAATTGAACTTACGCTCTTTCCTGAGTATCTAGATGATGCACTAACTCGTCTCTCTTATTAACGATGGACACTAACTCTTCAAGCAGTAAATTCTCGCGTACTTTCTGCTCCGCTGTTTTTTGCCATTCTTCGACGTTCAGTATACTTCTGAGTTCACGATTAAGTAGTTCAAAACGACGCTCGAGATCATCTTCCTTTTCTCTGTAGCAGAAAGATTCATTCTGCGTGATGCACGACGTTCCTCCATTCCAATGGTAGGAGTATAGGATATTTTTAACTTACAGTATGTTTAATTGCATCTGCCTTCTCAGTAAAGCATTCTTCTTATTTACCAGCGTAAACCAAAGAGACATGAGTCTTTCAGTTTCCTCCTCGTTATCACTTTCCATGGCGGCTCTTAATTCCTTTTCCAGTTTACCAGCCTGTATATCTATTTGATTCTGTTCCCTCTCAAGAGCTTCTAGTTCGTTTTGTATATACGTTGTCATGTCCTTGCCCAGCTGTAATACCAAAGACAATGGGATCGATACAATATATCTAACGGTATGACGCAATGTTCTTTTTAGCTATCGCATGACTCACTCCTCTGAGAGTATAAGGGCTTCCGTCGGGACTGCTTCTCTCTGGCGAAATCCTTTCAATTATCTTCGAGAAAGAGTATAAAGGTGATCCACTTTTCTTATCAGCTTCAGCTGTGCTTGCATTTGGTAATACGTTACCGTTGTGCTCAGACTATTAAAAGAATACGCACTATATTTAATCAGACAAGAAACAAATGGACCGGCGAGGAAAGATTCGATTCATTAAAATATACTTACTTTGATACTCAGTCTGTCGCCAGGAGTAGAAGGAGTCACGCTCCTTCTTGGACTATTATTCTGATCATCTATCGAACGTCTATCGCTGTTATTGTCGTCGCTGAGCTGACCGGAAGGACCATTGACTCCCATCCTAGCTTCCGCTATCAAACGTCTGGCTCTCTCACGTAATTGCTGCTGTCTGTCGTCTTCATTCTGGGGCTAAAATATGATAAAGGTTACATAAAATTCTATATTAGATGTGCTCTTGTAGGTATGACATTGAATTTAAAAAACTTCACCTCAACCGGACTGGTTGTAGCGGATGTGGTTGTGGTAGGTTTCGCTTGATTCCTCGCTTGTTCCAGAAGTTGTCTCGCTCTTTCTCTGAGCTCATCGTGTCTCGTTACTAATGGCTGTTGTAAACAATTCAATAAATATACTAGCAGATGGAATTTTATTAAAGATAATTAAACCTATTACATGTTGCGAACGTTGATCACCGTGCGACGGCGACGTGCCACGACATTCCGAACTACCGCGACTTCCTCTGTCAGTCGATTGCGCGGAATCCTGTGAGAAATTTATAAGTATATATAGTCGAATTAAATAAATGTTTATCAACATTTTGGGACTATGGATACTAACGTCTCGAATAGATGTTTGCGATTTTGACATCGAAATTGACCATTTATCATCGACAATTTGAATATTCTCATCCTCGTCATCAGATCCAAATGGATCAGTAAGTTGTCGACGTGTCATGAGAATTGGACGTTGCTGTACAGGCGCTGACCGCGGCGGAGATTTACTCTACGAAGAAGACGTATGATTATTTTTCATCAACAAAGAAATCAGTGGATGATTCTTGAAATAAGTGGAAAAGAACCTTCTCTCTGGCAGCGTATTTTTCCTTGGTCGGTGACAGAACTTTGCCGAGGATGCTCTTCGAACTAGCGAATATAATATCTTTAACATCCTTGACGCTAGATGGTGATCGATCTTTGTTAGACTGATCGTGATCTTGATTGTCCATATTCAGACTGAGATGTAACTTATTTTTTAAGGAATCAATAGTAATATCTTCCTTCTTGGTATCAAATGGATTTGATCTAAAACGTAGTGATTATCTCAGTACAATATAAGAGACGAGTTTTCCATTATAAAGCAAATTAATTACTCAAATTACCGTCTGTTTCTTTCGACCTTATTGTTTCGCTGCTCAGTTTGCTCTTTGTTACGCAAATTTATGATTTCTTGTCCAAACAATTGTACACTAACGTCGGTATTATTATCCGTGTTGAAACGGCCGATCATATACGAAGATTCATCGGTTGTCTTGCCTATCTGATGTACCTATACAAGAATTATGTTGTTACTGGATGTTTATCTAGTAGTGTTATTTAGCTCCTTTACCATTATGTGTGTACGTAGTAAAAGAAATACCTCAAGCTCGTGGCCCGTAAAGTGCGCTCGCAATTGGTACAAATATGTCATCACAGCTAATTTGTCAGGTACGGTCAAAACATCCATATCAGCTGGTTCTATTACCCTAGGAATTCCCAATGCTTCGCCAGCATCGAATGCCTTCTTGCAGTTACCTTTGACATCATGTGGCAATAACGCGTCCACGTCACTGGAATGCGCATCGTTAAAAATAGAACACTAGCCGGTAGACCAATTGAGCTATACTCCAAGTATTTTCTCTTGAACAAAACGCTTAAGAATTTGCTAATACTAAATTCGACAGAGGTCTCAACGATTAATGGAGTGTCTTTTTTCGAAAATTAATTGGCGTAAGCCCAGAGTTCTTTATGAATAATATTGTTATTTGCATGACGGAAGCCTATTCGAAAATATCGGAAAATTTGACGTTGCAAAGTGTGTAGTCGTCACAGAAACAAAATATATAGAGTAACTTTGCGAAACGTACATAAGGTCGGGCCTAAAGTGATGAATGATCGCGCAGAAGGCCATTCCGTTACGCCACGACGTTGTCAAATTTGTTACTTTCACACCAGGATAGTCCTTGGTCACATCTTTGCACCATTCCAATAAATCTTGACCTGGTGTTGTTTCCTTTAATTTTGGAACATTCATCCCACTTTTCTTCAGCTCTAATGGTTGCAGAGGCAATCTCATAATGCTGTGCTCGATGTTTTTACTGAAAACGTAATACCTATGTGACTAAAGCTTGTGCATGGCGCTTTTTAATTTAATTTACACGAAATTTTTCTCGACGAGTTAAAAAGCAGATTAGACGTACTCGTTTTCCGCGGCTATTTCGTCATTTACTGGAGATTTTTCCGTTGGTGGCTCGTTAATGCTTCCAGTCATGCTAATATCTTGTAATATATTCTCATTCTCGTTTACTGGTGTTGTTTCATCCTTTGATAGACTAGCCACTATTTTAATTAAAATTGTATGAGTTTCATCCAATTATATTTATATTAATAGTAAATGCACTTGATGCTAATATTAATCTTACCACTTATTGGAGTACTGGGTAATTCACTTTCTGTGAGACTACTAGTTAATAAGTCTAACTGAGTGGATAACTCCAAAATTTCATCTAGATTCTTGACTGACACTTCTTCGACATCCTCGGGGATGTCCTCGTTATCAAAATCATCTAATGGCGCAATGTCACTGTTATTGTTAACTGACATCAAACTGGCCATACTCTGCATATCTTCATCCCTAAAGGATTGAATAGAACATATTAATATGCATATGTGTATGCATAAACCTGAGATAATTGTCGACTGTAGAAGAGTAAGAAATACTAAGTATCTTACGTTGCTTTGCCCTCCCTCAGGAACACACAAGATAAGGTACATTCTAAAGTTGCGCTAACGATTTTCTTCGAAGTGGGTTTCAAGTCTAACTTAAGTTGTTGTTGACTAGATTCAAGCGTTGCAAATTTTTTCATATTGATATTTGTGGCTGCTACGTGACGCCTCTTACCGGTCGTTGAAACCTATTCTCAATTTTAAATTTAATTAGTTTCTTCCTGTGCAAAAAACGTATGCAACCATGATTCTTACATCTTCAATGACAAACGTCCAGTCCTTGTCTTCTAATTCATGAGTTCTGGGATCCTTGAATAGCGTCACAGAAACTGTATGATTGTCTGGTACAGCCCAACTTACTATTCCTTTTAAAGGGTCGCTCAGACATGGTTCCCATTCAACAGGTTCTGAACTGACTCTTCTACTACGTCTTGTCCATACCACACTTAATTTATTTGGGGTCCTAAATTAAAATTCATTGTATCTTGTAAATGCCATCTAAATATCTTATAGTTGCGTTATGAGGATTAAAGTATATATCTTAGCTACGATGATTCACGTATTCAGAGATAATTTGTTATAGACTAAACAGATTCAGGCGGATATAAAAATATGTAATAATAAAAAAGTATGGTTCATTATCATAGCTGACTCAACTTCCTCCTACAGAAATTTCTGAATGTCACTGCATGTAAAGCAGCTACATGTAAAGCAGCAGAAAACACTGATTCCTGACAATAAGATAATATTTTACATATTTTTCAAAACTATTTGGCTCCATTCTAAGAAAAGTTCACAACAAGTAAAAAGTATGCGGTAGAGGAATATTCCACTGTATCAAATATGTACCAAAGAAAAAAGTAGAGTTATATTTTTTGATAATTTTAATCAGTGTTATATAAATCTCAACAGAAAAAAAACAATTAAAACACTAAACAAATTTTTTAAATATAAAAGGTAAAGAATATGTAGATTAATACCTAATCGTGGATGATTACACTTGGTAAATCATTACTACTTACCATTTTGATGTTGTTTCGAGCGTGACCTCGTGATACGAAACCGTAAATTGGAACTTGGCAGCTCTTTTGTTCACTCTTTGCAATCGCTTCCAAACGGAACTCATTTTATTTTCGTTATTTAAAGACGCAGAAAATCACATAAGGGTGACGAAGGAAAAGAAACGTGACTAACTAACACGCGACACACATAGGCTAATGATTATCCGTCATTACAATGATATCGAATAAAATATTTCTCAAAAGGACATTAGGAGAAAAAGTCTACCAGGACGGTTCTATAGCACACGAGTAATTTGTCTAGCACAAAATATATTTCTATAAAAAAGAACGGATGGAGTCATAGATACGGAAACCTTTCGTTACTCATGCATTTGACATTTCTACGAAACACGTTTATGCAAACCGAGAGCTGTCTTTCTTTCACGACTAGAAATGAGAGATCCGCCTTCCTTTTCTATCTATTATGATCACTTGTCATGTCACTTTGTACACATTATTGCTCTCGATTTTATTGCCTTGCTGCTACCACTATCAGAAAGCACGTCGACTCTGTCCTATGTAATGAAACCGAATACCAAAACTCGAAATCTGTCTGTCGCGTAAGTCTGAATGAATTTCGTCCCGTGATGAAAGCCACTCTTGAGTTTATTGATCTCAGATTACATGAGTATGAGATGGGAAAGTACGAAAACTATTCGGTTCGGCTAGTACCAACATAGCGATAACAGATGACACACGAAATTAATTTTCTTTAATATGGACTGTGGGTAATATAGAGATCAAAACAGTTACTTGCTTATGGTAAAGCATTACATTACCGATGAGTTTCGTGTGCCAATTAATTTTTATTCATATATTTCACAATATCTAATTTCAGATTTGCATCGACATTTTTTTGCAGCATTATTATGTAGTCCGTCGACACGCAATAATTCTGCGTAAATGACAATTAATAAAATCCATAGTGACTTTCAAATTTTGTATACTTGCAGGAATAATGAAAAGATATTTTCTAAAAGCAAATCTTTATTCTTGAATTCATCTAAGACATTGAGCCGCCTAAAGTAAACAATCCCGACATGCAAAACCATCAACTAAAAGTGTCTTTTCATCATGACAATCAAATAGAAAATTACCTTATAATTACTCTATAACATCAAATTAAATGATGGATCTTTTTTTTTAAAATCTCAGTATATAACAGGATGAAAAGTCAGTATTTTCTACCAGTTGTCCTTCGTATTTGGAAACACCCGACGAGACTTCTTTTTTTTCCATTTGCAAAAAAATATCCATAAATGTCTTTAATATCCGGATTAGTAATTTCTCAATTGCTCGGTATAGTGATTCTGCTGGCGAGTTGCGTGTACCTTTATTTCAAATATGTTATTTTCGAATATTGGCGAAAAAAAGGAGTAATTCAAGTGGAACCGTCATTCCCTTGCGGAAATTTGTCACCGGTTGTCCTCGGAAAATTGTCAGCGGGTAAAGAAATTTTCCACAATCAAATATGTGTATATAATGACGCCTAATTAGGAAAAATTATGAATATTACTCACGAAGGGTTCCATAAACGATTTTAGGTGAACTCATCGCGAATGCATACAGTCAGCATAAGAAAAGTCCCTTTTTCGGAACTTACACCTTTCACAAGCCTAGATTAGTGGTGAATGATCCCGATTTGATTCGATTTGTTCTTACTAAGGAGTTTGCGCACTTTCATGATCGCGGATTGTATTGCAACGAGGAGATCGATCCTCTGTCTGGACATTTGTTTTTCTTATCTGGAATAAAATGGAAAAATCTGCGTGGCAAGCTGACGCCGACTTTCACTTCCGGCAAACTGAAGCGCATGTTCAGTACCATAAAGGATTGCGGTGATCATCTGGGACTCTATTTGGTGAAACATGCTCGAAATCGGGAAGAGGTTGAGATAAAGGACATTATTGCCAGGTAAAGAAAGAAGGAAAAGAAAATTTTCGAATTAATTATTTTCTGTGCTATTTATAGATTCTCTACGGATAACATAATGTCCACAGCATTTGGCATAAGCTGCAATAGTATTGAAAATCCAGAAAGTGAATTTCGAAAATGGGGTCGTAAAATATTCGAATCGAGGCCGATTTTCAATGCCATCGTTGTTTTCGCCCCAAATATTTTGGATTTCTTTTCCATACCATTTACGGATAAAGGAGTGAACAATTTCTTCACGCGCATCTTCAAGGAGACTGTGGAATACCGTGAAACGAATAACATTGTCAGGAATGACTTTATGGATTTGATTATGCAGCTGATGCACAAGGGTTACGTAGACGAGGATAAAAATAATAAGGACGACAACGATGCGAAACCTGTACCTATCACCGAATCCAAGGATGGCAGAATCAACATATTGGAAGCTGCCGCGCAGGCCTTCGTCTTCTTCGTAGCTGGATTTGAAACTTCGTCTTCAACCGTGGCCTATTGTCTTTATGAGCTTGCTCTGCATCGCGACATCCAAGAGAAGGTGAGACAGGACATAGACGCAGGATTACAAAAATGCGGTGGACTCACTTATGAGAGTTTGGCCGAGATGACTTACCTACATAAAGTTGTGTCAGGTAAATATTTTATATATTCAGGATAAATTATATTAAAAATTATGTTCCTCGTTTCACCTTCAGAGACCCTCCGGAAGTATCCAACCGTCCCCATACTCAATCGAATTTGTACCAAGGACATAGAACTCCCAGGCACCAATGTGGTTATTCCAAAAGGATTGGATGTGATGATTCCCGTTTTAGGGATTCAAAGGGATCCTTCCATATATCCTGATCCTGACAAATTTGATCCTGAACGGTTCAACGAAGAGAATATCGCCGCTCGCCATGCTTACACCTATCTACCCTTTGGCGAAGGACCAAGAATATGTATAGGTAAGATATAAGGGATGCTTTGCATAATACACTAGAATAAAATAAATTAATTATTTTGACACATAGGTATGAGATTTGGATATGCTCAAGTGAAAGTGGCACTGATAAGTGTTTTAACGAGATATCGTTGTAAGCCTGGTCCAAAGACGCCTGAAAAACTTATTATGGACCCAGGAAATTTCATACTGCAAGCAAAAGGTGGCATACATCTCGTTATCGAACCACGATAACATATGTCGGTTTATTTTCAAAATTCTTTTACATATTTAGAAATCGATTAAATATAATATTATGACGTCACAGATTATTTTCGGTTTATAGTAAGATAATTTTATTTTTTTACTCTGTGGAAAATGTTTCTACTGAATTTCTTATCGTCCATACGCGATCCCTGCTTCGAACTCCTTTAAAAATGCCGCTCGAATAGACAAAGAGGGACTGAGGTGACGGCCAGTAGCTTTTCTTTTCTAATGCTCTCATTGGCTACGCCCTCTATACTCTCGTACTACGGCTGCTGATTAGAAAGAGACAGAGCTTAGCCGCCAGCAGTCGCTATCTCTTTCTCGTAGTCCATGCTACATGTTGACGGGGGACACATGACGAAATAAGTCTGAATTTGCAGCGTTCCCACAGATAAAAACGCGCTAGTCAAGAGAGTTACTATTGTTTAAGCAATAAGTGAAAAATAATAAATATTATTGTATTCATGGAATTTAAAATTCAGAAAGGGAATTTTCAATTACTAATCATCAATCTTTTGGTGCAATTTTTATTTATTTTTTCCTCTGCACTCAACGACTCAACTCGAGCTTAACCATACTACTTGAACGTTTAGTTCCATTAATTGGTCTACAGCACCGGAGCGCCGTGTCTCCAGTCAGTGCTCTGTGGGTCGTACAGTTTATCTGTTACGTTATAAAAATATATCTGACTGGAGCTGATCCTTCCTTGTATCTCTTCTAAGTCAATAATTTATTAAAAATATAACCAGTTGCCAAATTGCGGTTTCATTTCCACTGCAGAAAGAGGGTTTTTATCATGGCATTCGTTGAATATGAAATTACCTTTAAAATACTGGGTATTCTCATAGGTTTGATCATTACATTTTATGTTTATTTGAAATATTATGTTTACACATATTGGACGAGACTCGGTATCGCCCAAATAGAACCCAGCGTACCGTTTGGTACTTTGCACGATGCGGTTATGGGGAAGACGTGCATTGGTGAGTACATAATGTTTATTCAATGGGGAAACTGAACTGTGACGGGAATTAAAAAACTGTCAAACTACTTTGCTAGAATATGATCATAGAATGATTAGATCATTTGTCACATAAATATTAGGAAAATCGATGTTAAAATTTTCTAAAATATTCCTATAAAGTGCGGGAGCGAAAACACTTTGTCATTGTTCGTGACGTCACAGCCTCATCTTCTTATATCAAGTTTATTTTACAGCCTAATAGCCAATTAAGAATGCTCGTATTCGAGCTGACGATTGCTTACCTTTTCATAATATAACGGGTGCGTTCCGAAATGCACTGACAGTACTGTAAAAGTAATTACATCTCTTACATCAAAAGTAATACATCTCTCTTAGATGCGCATAGATGAATAAAGACACAGCATTGGTCACAGTACTGGCAGTACTGTCAGTACATTTCGGAACGCACCCAACCTATCACACCACATTAGACGTGTTATTGGTAACCATTGGCAACCTACGCACGTTCGTTGATAATGACCATGGTCAAGGACATTATACATTATCCGTATATGATATATTACAGCTATTTTTTGACGTGACTAAACGGGGCGTTTAAACTGCTATTTGAGCAAGATGATTTTTAACATTATTTTTTAACAAGTATAAGCATATTATTTACCTAAACCATCAATATTCATAGTTCTTATAGTACCACAATTAAGAAAAGAAACAAAAATAGTCCAGTTCCCGATTGTTATATCGTATGATCAATCGATGACTGGGACCCAGCTGTACCAGTTATAGATGAGTTGACCGCGTACAGTTCTACACTCTTTACCATTGATTACAGGAGAATTGTTTGGCAACGCATACGCAAAATTAAAGCAGAATCGCGTATTCGGCATGTATATGATTTACAAGCCAAATCTAGTGATCACCGATCCCGATCTCATTCGCATTGTACTAGCTAAGGAATTTTCGCATTTTCACGATCGCGGATTATTCTGCAACGAAAAGGTCGATCCTCTCTCGGCTAATCTCGTGATGTTGGCTGGATCGAGATGGCAAAACCTACGTAAAAAATTGACGCCTACTTTCACGTCGAAGAAAATGAGAGAAATATTTTTGATCCTGAGCAAGATTGGAACAGAGTTGGGAGCTTATCTCAATGATAATGCAAAAGACGGAGGACTGATTGAGATTCATGATTTGATGGCAAGGTGATTAGATTATATAATTTTTTTTTCTTTTTTGGATAATCATGAAATTTTTATTCATTAGATATAGCACAGACGTTATAGCGTCTACCGCTTTTGGAATAGACAGCAATAGCATTCGTGATCCAAATAACGAATTTCGATTTTGGGGCCGCAAAGCCTTTGCTCCGCAGCCGTTTAAAAATGCGATGATTTTATTTGCACCCGGTATAATGGACTGGTTATCAATTCCTGATACCCCACCTGCTGTTTCCGAATACTACATAAATCTGTTCAAGAGGACACTCGAATACAGAAGGGAGAATAATCTTGGCAGAAAAGACTTTTTCAATTTGTTGATGCAACTCATGGAGCATGGTTACATTCAAAACGACGATACGAAATCCTCACCGGATTCAGGAAACGTTAGAGAAGCTAAGATGACGCTGTTGGAAGGTGCGGCACAAGCTTACATATTTTTTTTGGCTGGCTTTGAAACTTCATCTTCGACAGCAACGCATTGTTTATACGAACTGGTATGCAATCCGGATATACAGGATAAGCTGAGAGAGGAAATTCAAACTGTTTTGCGAAAACACGGTGGACTCACGTATGACGGTATAAACGAAATGAAGTATCTCGACAAGGTGGTCTCTGGTTAGTGAAGAGCAAATTTTATTGTGACTTTACAGAAGGATTCGTACAATTTAATCATATTCGATTATTTGTTACTCCCACAGAAACTTTAAGAAAATATCCATCGGTCCCTGTACTCAATAGAGTTTGTACGAAGGACTTTAGTCTACCAGATATTAACTTACGCGTAAAGAAAGACATTCACATTGTAATTTCGGTTTTGGGGCTGCATCACGATCCTGATTATTATCCGGAACCCGAAAAGTTTGATCCTGAGAGATTCAGCAAGGAAAACGTGTCTGCTAGACATCCTTGCGTTTACTTACCATTCGGCGAAGGTCCCAGAGTTTGCATAGGTAAGGAATAATATATTTATTTTAGAAACTTTGCTCCGTCGATTTTTTCAATTTTTTTCTAGGTATGAGATTCGGACTTCTGCAGACAAAAGTTGCTCTCGTTAGCGTTCTCTCGAAATTTCGTTGTCTTGCTGCACCGACTACTCCGAAGAAATTGAAATTTGACATTGGAAACATTTTACTCTTGCCCGAGAAAGGAGTTGAGATTATTGTTGAATCTCTGGACAGTCCGTTAAACGTGGATGAAAGTAACGGTTGGATAAAAGAGAACGGTTGTCTTGTGAAATAAGATTTTACGCTGGATTGATCCTCAGCTCAAACACGATTCATTTTCTTGGGACATGGATATTTTTCTAAAAATTATATTTTAATATTTTCACAAACCACGTGACGTTGTGGTGTTATGATTCTATTTGATTTACGTAAGTAACGGCTTGCGTATTCAATACTACGTCCGCGTAATCAGGTTCCATATCCGCGGTCGAAAACTAAATATCAAAAGGCCAATCACTGGGGTCTGGTTTCTATGACACAGCGACCCTTGGAATCGGCCATCTTCTTGTATGGGTCCCAGGTTCAGGTAAAGTGAGACGAATCTTTCAAGAGGATGCATGTATAAATTATACTTAGGCAATAGCCCTGACCGTTAGCGATTTCACTCAAGTGACATACGTGCACCGAAAGCGGGCAGTCCTGATTGTACGATTTTTCCTCAAAAACCCCACTAGACTCCTTACTCGTCCTTGAAGAAATTATCCTTGTCCAATTCTGACCCAGTAACTCCTTCACCCCCGTGCGAAGCTCCCCACCGAAATTTCCAGCACCGATCAGCTGATTTCTTTAACCTCCACATACTCTTTTCGTAAAAATTTCTCTAGCCGAACCAATAGTGAAAATCCTCAATCCCACCCCAAAAATCCACCCCCGTTAATTAACATCCAAAAAATTCCCCAAAATTCACTATCATTTTCCACCGATCTGCCAACCAAAGTAGTTGACCAGTATTCGTGTTACTTTTCCGCTTGCTAGTCGACTAGAGTACTTGTTTAGTAGTTTGTTCGCTTGCGTCTATAATAAATTGTTTTCATTTTATTATTTCACTTCGGCTCTATATTTGTCCTATTTCAAATATTCTTTCATCATCATCAGACGTCGAGCAATTATAATTATTATACTTGGTGGAGGAACTCTTAAGTTTGTTAAACCGTAGTAGATGTTAGAAATTCCTAGATTTTCAATTATTTAGTTGGTGACGGTTTTCATTTGTTATATGTAGAATATATTTTATCCCATATCCAATCTTATTCCAATCATTGGTTACAGTACGAGATCCACCGCGTAAAAGAATACACCCATATAGTTTTGACATTTATGATTTTTATCCTTCACTTTTTGCTAGTCGCACCTTCGGCTATAGATGCTTCACTGGTAAGCGTTCTCAAAGCCAACGTAACTATACCGTGGTGTTACGAGATTCACAATAGTCAGATCGCAGGTTCGGAATGGCTATCTGAGTGTCCGAAAAAACAAGATTCAAGGACGCCCAGATAATATAGGATAATATAAAGTGAGACATCTCGTGACGAGCGCAGTGAAACTTTTGAACTGCCATGATCCACACGTGGCTCGTAGTACCTCGAGGTCTCTTCGCGAAATCTTTCGAGCATTAATTAAAACGAATTTTTTAACAATAAAATCTCATAAGGAGCATTTTCTTTTACATCACGAATAAAATACAATAATCACTGATTATTTATCGCGTCAATGTTATAGCAGTGTTGAGTTATCTTGTGTAATCAATATAAATGTGTGAGCGAGCTATTAGTACTCAGACGTGTATTCCATATATGTATTCCTGTGTTAGATTGGTACGTATTAACGGTATCATGATTGGAATGTTATTGTTCTGCTATCTAATTAGCAAAGGTTTTTTTTCAGTCACTTAGTCGAGGCGACTATCTATAATTTATCATGAAGCATTTGTCACTCGCGAATTAAAGCGTCGACAGCTGTGCCTTACAGACAGTGTGCTACATAATAAGAGGGAAATAGAATTTTAAATATAAAAATTGAAGCAATCGGTCCGGAGCCTGAAGGAGGATAAAGTATTAATTTTTAAGAGACTCGTTCAACGAGGAACAAAGATGATTTACGGGAAGGCAGAATAAGACAAAGAATTTAAGGCTTATCGAAGACATTGATAATTGGTTCTGAGAAAAATTTTATTTATATTATTTGAGTTTAATTTTTTTTAATAATCGATCAATCATGTCGTGGATCTGGTCGATTTTGTTTGACACGAAGTTTCTTCTATTGGGGACATTGATTATTTCGATTTACTTGTATATGAAAAAAGTGGTTTATAATTATTTCGAAGCAAGAGGAATTCCATACGAAAAACCGATCGTTCCCTTCGGCAGTGCTCACATACTTTTTGTTCGACGTACAACATTCGGTAAATACGATAATCACCGAGTCGGAGTTATTGACGTAATTTTAAAATTATTAAAACTATTACTTTGTTTTAGGTGAATTATTTGCTAATTCTTACAAAAAGTTCAATAAATATCCTTATCATGGTATTTTCATGTTGAATGTACCGAACTTGGTTATTAATGATCCTGAGATCATTCGTCTCGTGCTCAATAAGGATTTTGCTAAGTTTCATGATCGCGGATTATATTTCAATGAGAAAGCCGATCCGCTTTCCGGTCACTTGTTCGTCCTCGGTGGTGAGAAATGGAAGAGGCTGCGCGCCAAATTGTCGCCAACTTTTACATCTGGAAAAATCAAACAAATGTTTCCTGTGGTCAGCGAGTGCAGCCAATTGCTCGCAGAACACATTAATGAAAGCATGAAGACGGATAGTGACTTTGAGATAAAAGATTTGCTAGGAAGGTTAGATAATTTCATTTAAATAATAATTAACAGGTAGCTAAATGCCGTTCAATATGTCAATTAATCCTTATATGAAATGACATTTGTTTTTTAGATATTCCACTGACGTCATCGCGAGCATAGCTTTTGGTTTGGATAGCAGATGCTTAAAAGATCCAAACAGTGATTTTCGAAAATATGGCAAAAAAATTTTCACCGGACAGACAATCCGAACGTTCCTGTTCATATTCACTCCGCGTCTTGTTGATCGGTTGGGAATTAGGCTTTCGCAGTCGGATGTCAATGAATTCTTCATCAAGACGTTCACAGAAATGGTCCAGTACCGAAAAGACAATAATATAGAACGAAGCGACATGCTGAATTTACTGATACAGTTGATGGACAAAGGTTACGTTGAATCTGATAACGTAAAGACTGATAAGTCAAATGGTAATTGAATCTTGTATTTATTGATATGAATTTTATAGTCATCCACTGTCATATCTTTTTGCTTAATCATTTCGAATTTTCATTATTTCTCTAGGAGAGGTCGACACGCGAAAACTCGGTTTACTCGAAGCGGCAGCACAGGCCTTTGTATTTTTCATAGCTGGATTCGAAACATCATCTTCCACTGTTACATACTGTCTTTATGAATTAGCACTTAATCCAGAAATTCAAGAGAAAGTTAGACAAGAAATTGAGACTACGATAGAAAAATACGGTGGCCTCACATACGAGTCTTTGACCGATATGACGTACCTGAGTCAAGTACTTGATGGTTCGTTCTTGATATTAATGATAATAGTTAATGAAAGTTTTGTTATATATTTCTATGGCTTATTATTGCTTTCATAGAAACTTTGAGGAAATATCCGACGGTTCCTGTACTCAATCGACAATGCAACGAGGATTTCATGGTGCCCACGACAAGGCAGATAATTCCGAAAGGATTGAATATAGTTATTCCAGTTCAGGGTCTTCATCAGAATCCGGAATTATACCCTGATCCAGAAAAGTTCGATCCTGATCGTTTTAGTAAGGAAAATGCCAAAAAAATTCATCCGTTCGCCTACTTGCCTTTCGGAGAAGGACCCAGAGTGTGCATTGGTAAGGGGCTGAAGACTTTGCAATTTTGAAGCAACAGTCTCCTTTCTGTTGATAATATTAATGACTGTGCGTCATCTTTCAGGAAAGAGATTTGGACTTATACAGTCGAAGATGGCCATAATTTCCCTATTGTCCCGCTTCCGATTGTCACCCTGTGCAAAAACAACAATTCCTGTTGTACATTGTCGTAGAAATTTGGTGATGACTCCGCAAGATGGAGTCTATTTGCGATTCGATCCGCGATAAGAATGAGAGATAAGCCCGCCTTATTGTACATAAGCTACTGCATATCTGTATATTTTAGTTTAGTACTAGTTCATAATTTTAATTGTATTTTCAAAATTTCCTACAACGACTGCGCTACTCTTTTGTGTTGCTACTACTTTCTAAATTTAATTATCATTTATAAGTCATTTGATAATTAATAAAACATTATGAGAATCCTTATCGAGCAATACTTGGCAGGTCCTTATTAAACATTTTACAGTACTGACTTCAGACACGAACCGCCAAAATACGATATTCTGAAAATTCGGTGTGAACGGTAGCTTGACAAAATATGTTTAATTGTCTCGTCTATCGGTGAATTCCGTCACGTAAAAAAAGAAATGGACGTGCGAAGACGACGACGACGAAACTCGATGTCGATTAAGCATGACTGGTCACTACATGCGAGTTGACGTCCAGTACCAGTCAGTGAATAATGTCAAGTAGACGGAATTGAAATAAAATGAAATCTTGTACATCAATCTGATTGTTTTTTACGGCAATCTATTCGGAGTACTCAATTTCTATATTGAATGTATCAATGATTTTTTCTCATATATGTATACTGATTCGAAACACAGGTTGCCTTGCAAACGAGTTGCTTCGAGGTAAAGAATCTCAATCTTGAGATTTCGTCGAGTCATTCGATTTTAAGTGGGGATAAACGTTTCATTCTCTCGAAATAACTTTAGATGTGTGAAAGTACCACTACGAAACAACAGGTCCCCATTTGTGTTATATGATTATCTTAATGCCCAGTCATCCTGACCAATCGTGCGCGCATGTAGCTATACGTCCTTTACTTAAAGGAGCAAAAATAAATAAAATTATCTCGCTCTTCGCCTCAGAACGCCCTAATCTCGGTTACCTTTTATGGCAATTCATTCGGAATACTCAATTCCTATAATGATTGTATCAATTACTTTTTCGCATGCATGGTGGTTCGAAACACAGGTGGCCTTGCAAACGAGTTGCTTCGAGTAAAGAGTCTCAATCGGTCGTTGCCTGTACGGGCGATTACTTCTACTTAGCTTGCGACCTTGCCGAGTCACTTGATCTTAAAGTGGGGATGAACTTTCCCCTTTCTCGAAATAACTTTAGATGTGGGAAATTATCACTATCAAAACACGGCCTCCATTTATTTTATGTAACTATCTTAATACTCAGTCACCCAGATGGATCGTGCGCGCATGTAGCTGTGATACGTGATCTATTTGAAAGAAGAAAGACCGATGTGAGAGACTCATAAAGTTTAAAATGCTTGAATAGATAGTTTCCTCGTAAAAGACATCCGTATCCGATCCGTATACTACGAAGGTTCTGCAAAAGTGAAATATAAGATTTTGTGAACGTGTTAAATATTTTCAAACCGATCATGTCGGTCTTATCCGACATTTGGGACTTGAAGTTCTACCTGCTAGCTGGGGCGATTGGCGCAATTTACTTGTACGTCAAGTTGGTGATTTTCAAGTATTTTGATAGGAGAGGCATTCCGTATGAAAGACCCACGTTTCCTTTTGGAAATGTCAGTGGAGTATTTC